TTTCGAGAAAAAGAAATTATCGTTAAAATTCTTTATTTAGCTTTGGCAGCATTAGAACCAGTTTTAGATGATTTTTTTTCTTGTTCGAGTTATGCAAATAATTAAAATTTCTAATACGTTTTATTAAATAAGAGTGTGAATGTGTGGATGTAATTTTTCTCCTCGATTGAACCCACACTCACACTTCAACAAATCGATGATCTGAAAATAATCATCTTGTTGATGTCCAGAACAGAGATGAGCGAGCCGCGGTGTAAAACCGCCCCGTCCCGCCCCGCCCCGCCGGCGGGGCGGTGCTAAAACTTGACGGGGCGGAGTGGTGACGGTGCATGACGAAATTTCGCGGTTTCCCCGCCTTTGTATAACCTTGATTTTTTAAATATACTCAGACCTTTAGAGACATCTTTTTAAAATTTTAAAATCTTTTCACAAAACTAATCAGTAAAAAAAGACTTGTTAGCGCAGCTCCAGAGGAGCTAAAATGTGGACCTCACATATATTTTTTTAATTTTCTGTCCTGATGCCTTATTTTTAAATTGTAAAATACCTTTTTTCCGAATACGTATGAAATCATTGATATATTATATAAAAACTAGAGCCTTTTATGCGCTGCTGAGGTCTGTAATGGTGGGGGTCAGGGTTACCAGATCGAAAATTAAAAAATCAGAAAAATTTTTCTAAAAATTGGGAAAGTCGGAATTTTTGTTCTCGAAATCGGAAGAAAATCAGAAAGTATTTTTCCATGCTTAAATAACTAGTCTATATATTTTCGATAGCTTCAATATCCTTTATCTTGCTTCTGTTCATCTTTTCGAAGCAATATCAGAAATGATATTTCATAAAGAATTAAAGAAAATATCGATTACACAATTTACTCATGATTGAGAAATCTACATAAGTAATTTGAACAGGATCACATTATTTTTATCAAAAATGCTATAACCAACTTGACGAAACAATAGAATCAGTATTGTAAATTCATACACACACATGCATTTCACAAAACTTATGCAAAACAAAACTACGACTTATTCTGTATAATGTTCGTTTTTGTTCATACTTTTTTATTAGCTCGAATACTCTTCAAAATATCAGGTTGAGGTAACAGATATTCATAAAAATGTCCACAAGTATAAACAGAACTCATTCCGATTTTCAATTCTGCAACAGCTAAATTAGTACCCATACG